GCCCGATCATCTTCTGATCAAGTGAGTGTATAGTCCCTTTCATTAACACGATTTTAATACAAGTATCGATGAATGTATTAGATATATATAATATGATTAAGTGTGTAGTTACTTTCTTCTAACACATAGATATAAAGTATTTGCTATGAAATACATGTTATATGTTTATACATTGTTTGCTTACTTGAGATGGATGTTGAATGAATGTTTTATATACAGGTTTTAAACTGTATATGTATTTTATATCTACGAATATGTCGGGTAAAACATGGGTAGATAAGTGATGTGGTATGAAAGATGTTATAGATAATCCTGGCAGATGCGTCTAATGTAGAGTGTCATAATCCTAACAGATGCGCTTAATAGTGAATGTCATAATCCTAGCAGATGCATTTAATAGTGAATGTCATAATCCTAGCAGATATGCTTAATAGTGAATGTCATAATCCTAGCAGATGCGCTTAATAGTTAAATGTTATAATCCTAGCAGATGCGCTTAATAGTGAATGTCATAATCCTAGCAGATGCGTTTAATAGTTAAATGACATAATCCTGGCAGATGCGCCTAAATGATAATATTTGTATATGCGCCTAATAGATATCATTGGTAGCCGCGCCTTAAGTAACAATGGAATTTGTGTCTATTCCTTAAAGTCAATCTTTAGGAATGAATGAATGAAGGATAGATGATTTTTAGGGTAAATCCTTAAGAAATAAAGGAGACAATGGGGATGAGTAATTTGGTTGATTGTTTGATGATTGAATATAATAATTATATTATTGTGGGTTGAAAACCCTATATGCTCACCAGGCTCCCAAGCCCGACCCACTCAGTTTTAATGGCACAAGAGTATAAGTCGGATGACTTGACGAGAGATTTTGGATTATAGACCAGTAGTTATAAATAAATGTTGTAAGGTCTGTATTCTACTATTTATGCTTTTGGTCTGTATCGGAACATGACATCCCGATATTTTGTTATTTAATGAAAATAAATTTCTTTAAGAAAAGTTTTGATAGAATCTTATCATATTTTGTTTTGGGAAAAAGTTCCGCAATTATTTTCTTTAAAAAGATTACTCTGATTTTAAAACGAAGCATAAACAAACCGGTCTTTTCTGGCCGTGAAATTGGGGATGTCACATCTGGGCCAAGTTGCCAGTGTCCCTCAATAGCCTTAACATGACAGGGAGTGCCCTATCTGCGGGTCCTCCATCCCTCAGGTCATAAATTGAATAACACCAAATTGAATAACACCCCACCATATTAAGATATCCATTTAATAATCACCAAATCGAATTAACACTTATACTGCTGTAAGTTCTTAGGTTTTAAAACAAACTAAACTAAGAGTTTTTAAGCCAATTCATTTGCAAATCTAATGCCTCTTAACTTTGTCTGACTGTCAGACTTGGTCAGTGACATTGGCTTAGGAATGGATCGACAAGATTATTTTTCGATATGAATCATTAACAATGATGTCTTTACATTTGACTCACTATCAAATGTGTTGGTACTTACTGTGTATGTTTCATGTGAACTTGTGTGACTTATGATCCATACTCGAGGTAAGTTATCCCCTAAATTCACAAAGAAACTTCATAAGGGCCATCAATGATTGAATTTCAACAAAGATGTCATTAATGTATCTCTTTTAGCCACATTGTTCACTTTGCAATTTTACCAACTGGAATATAAATCCACTATGGTGGATGACATGGTACTCTTTCTAGCTAATATATCACCATTCAGTAAAACCATGAATTCCGACTGCGAACAGAATTACATTTATTAGTATGGAAGTTTGCATCAATGTAACTCTTACAATGATCTCTTCCATGTTGGATTAGTGTCTAAGTCCATAACTATTTTGGTATGTACTTGACCCGATGGTGCATGGTCCTTTTGGGTTGCCTTCACCAAAGTAACTTGATTGGAGAAATAAATAAAGAGAGAGATGTTATTATGATTTATTAATATGTTATAAGAATAATATATTAAAGGAGAAATCATATTTGTTTAATTAATATTGGTCAATAATTAATTAGGAATTAATTTTGTGATCAAGTGTAATTAATTAAACTAGAGGGGCTGATTTGTAATTATGTGATAGTTACAAAATAAGGTAAGGATTATCTTAAATATAGGGTGAACGAATTTAAGGAGATAATGCCTTAGAATTCGACTAGGATAAGGGTTTCTAAGACTTATCTTAGGGTTACTTGGTGGGCAAGCAACTAGATAAGGATAAGGACTAAAACCCTAATCTTTACACCTATATAAACCCCCTAAGGATCATGAATTCGTCTATGCCTTCCCAAGAGGTCCTAGAGACGAATTCTTATACCTCTCCTCTCTCTTTATAACTTCTCCATTTGCTCTTGGTGTTTGTAAGCCATTAAAGGAGTGACACTTGTGACTCTAAGCCTTCCAAAGTCAATTCAAGGAGGAATTAGGATTGTTGTTGCTACATAACAATCAAGGTAATATCTTAAACCTAATTATAGGTTAATATCGATTTCCATATGCTAGAATTAGGGTTTATAGTCTTGGATTCAAAGCATGTACAATAGAGAAACCTAGATCCAAGCATTAGGGTTTGTATGAGCACATAGGATGTCTTATGACCAAAACCCATCATTCCATACTATCAAGATTATATCTTCTGTCCTCCAAGGACACTTAAGAATGTTCTTGAACTTGATTCGTTGATTCTTGCCTAATTGATCTAATCCAAATTGTTATGCTCAAGGCATACTAGTTATTAGATCTGGTACATGTCATGGCATATATGATCGATCCCATAGTAGAAGCATGTGGGACACGACTCATAACCTCTAGTAGAACTAGGACATTAGCATAGCTCAATGTCATGCCATATTTCATTAAGCACGAACCTTTCCAAGTTCTGCATTTCCTCAAGATTTCATGAACTTTGGTTTAATCAAATGAATCACTTTGATCTATCTCCATAGATCCTTATTATGTACGTGTTTTGTATCTCCCATGTATATCATAGCGAAACAGTTCTCATACTAAGCCAAGCTTTTACACTTGCTAAGTTAGAATATAGTTTCTTATGAATTGTACATTATCTATGCACAATACACAGGCGACTACAGTGCTCCCACTAGCACTGACATATATGGCTTATCTATGTTTCTCGAAATTCAAACTCCTTGAACATTCTCATTAAAACAAAGAATCCAATTACTCCTAATAGCTTTGAGATATATATATATATATATATATATATATATATATATATATATATATATATATATATATATATATATATATATATATTTGTGGCTTATCTTTATTTCTCGAAATTCAAACTCTTTGAACTTTCTTATTGAAATAATTGAAGTTGATAAAGGAATATCAATGCTAGGTACTACAACTTCTAAAAGCTACATGCTCGATATCTTCAGACCTACTGATTTGGTTATCTTTTTTTGGGCATATAGATCTCTGAAACAGAAGAGTTCTTCACATTTCATGGTTAAATAGCACAGAATCATTTAGGTTCCTATGAAGAAACCTAACAATCTCTTTTAAAAAGGTATATATATAATGTTACTGAAGTCATTCTCTTATATATTATAATGATTTGAAGAAGGAAGAAAGGTTATTCATCACTCATTAGTTCCACATACCTGGTCTAACCAATCACGTAAAGTGAATCAAAAAAATGTATGACATCATGAGAGGAAAGTTGAAACGTTTAAAAATGCATCTTCAATTATTTCCTTTTACTCGCCTATTCTTGAAAGCCACCTGGAATTGGTGTAAAGAACACGCACAAACACCTTATGAGTGTGAGAAAATAAATTGAAAGACACAATGAGAGTCAAAAGCAAACCTAATAGCATAAAACATGTACAATCATAATCAACACAAAATTAAGAATAAAAAACTCTAGCTAGAAAGTGAGAAAAAGAGATGAAAAAGATAATTAACAAACTAATTTAGCGATTCAATCAATTATATATAAAAAAATTAGGGTTGAAGAAACGAAGTAAAATCTGGAAGGACAATTATCGGGAACTAAAGTAGTTTCACAAAAGGAATCAATTGAATAAACTCATTGAAACAATGAAAAATGAAGCAGAAGTCGATAGATTTACCTTAAGTGAAATATTTTCAACCGAACTTGAATCCATAATTGTTGACATCAAATGAAGCAATTCAATATACTGAGTGAAAGATAGAAACAATAAACATAGTTGGGACATCATATAGGCCCGATTTCTAGGTCGTGGTTAGGGCGGTTACCAACTAAGAAGACTTGGTATCGTGATGATTGAAGGAGAACTACCATGATTGACGGAACCTGGAAAGCGATTGAATATGGATGAAAAGCGATCGACTGTAAGAACATGAGGGAGAAGCTGAAAACGGCTGGCTGATTACTAGGGAGGGGAAACTACCAATTCCAACGCGAGAAGAACAGCCGTATAGTAATTATAAAATATGGAATTTGAGTGGCTGAGATTGAAAGTTACAGAAGTTTGAACGGCTGAGATGTTTTGGGCGGTTAGAAGTTTGAACGGCTGAGATGTTTTGGGCGGTTACAGACCCACAAAGAATATCTCACATAAGTTTGTAGGGTTTTATTTATTTATTTATTATTATTTTTTTTAATGATATTTGAAAAAGCCATAAAATATGGTCCTTTTAACGAATAGCTCTTTGAATAATCATAATATTATAAAAATTAAGCATATTAAATCTCGGAAGTTAATCATTTACAACCTTTATTAATAACAGGTAAGCAAGCAGACTTGAACGCGAGACCTTCTTGAAAGACATAAATCTCAGACATCTTAACAACCAACGATCCATAACAATTATATGAAGCTTGCATCCCATTTACACTATATATTTAAAACTTACAAACAATATCGGCACAGATCAAATAACCAATCAAATTTATCCCCCCCAACTGACTACTATACTTTATAAGAATCCCTCTTGAGAATTTCGGCAATTGTGATTCAACATGAAAACATCACATTCATCTTTGTTCTTGAAGAAGATTCTTCTAATTTCTTCTTGCTACTGCTGCTAGCATCTGAAAACCTGTCATCATCATAGATTTGGCACGAAATTCTCTTTCCACCTTTACAAACCCCGCTCTTCAAATCAACCCCATACGCCATCTCAAATTCATTCTTACCACCACCAATCTTAAAACTTATCTTTTTCCTTTTCTCTGGTAACTTGCTGATTTGCTTATTTGATTCGGTCGTTCGCATCTTCTTCTCCCATGCGGTTTCACCCTCATTTGATGCAGTAAAGATCGGTTTTTCCCCAGCGTCACTGATTTTAGGGAAATCCGGCAACCAACTCGGAACGTGATTCCATTTTGTATTCTGATTGGAAAAACATGGTGGATTTGATGGAAGTGTAGGACTACGGCGAGGCAAGGGATTTGCAAATGGAATTTCGCGACTCCTATAGACAAATTTCATCGTGTCGCGGAGGATCGATGAATTGGTGAGTATATTTAATCTTCTTTTAGGCTCTGAGTTTCCATGGAATCCAATGTTGGAATGAAGCTCTTCCAATGCACGGACGATGTCGAAAAGGTTACACTGTGTTCGGCCGGTGGAATTAGCGGAGGTAGTAGAGTACCTCGCCAGTGCTCGAAGGTACCTGACGGCAACGTCCGTTAGGGTTTTGAGTGCTGAGATTTGAGCGCCTTGATACCCGACGGACTGACACATCTGTGCGACGGCGATTCTCATGACTGCCGTGTTGAAATCCGACGATTCCAAATCACTCTCCTTCGATAATCGGGATGAATCTTTGACTTTCTTCTTCTTCATTGTGGAATCAAACGACAAAAACCCTAGTTCGTCAAAGTCTGTATTCAATCTGTTTTCAAAGACAGATCGCTCATTTCTCAGTTTCTCCGTAACCGTTGATGGGCTGTTTAAGCATATGATTGGGCTTCACATCGACCTAACCCATGGCGAAAATGGAAAATTTTAATATACTTTGAGCCCAAATAAAAAGATGTCGGGCAAATCTATTTCTATTATTGAGTAATTAAATGTGAAGTTTCCAATTAATTTTATTGTAAAATGATGAAACAATTATAACAACAAACTTTATAACAATTCTTAAGAACAACATGGAAACTGAGAAGCAAGCCTGATGAAGAATTCACTATGAATAAAATCATTTTTAACTACAAGCTCTAAGGATAATTACTTTTAACAGTATAACTTGTGGCAACAAACTTTAGAAAAACACAATAGTAGCTAAACTTTCAAGACGGAAATAAAAAATTGTTCGAGCTAACTATACTGGCTTTCGACCACATTTGAATGCATCCACAAGCTTGACATTAACAACATCCGAACCAGGACCTATGTTTTTAAGTTTTTCATCCATGATAATACAGACCCAAATGCTTCTGGCAACTTAAAACATTTGTAATGGTTTATTATGAAAAACCAATTTACATTCGAGGTACCTCTAATCAGTGAAACCAAATTGATGAGTAGGGATATTAATTGATTGGAGGCTAAAAGTCTAAAACCCAATTGCAAAGCTATTGGACAAACTATTTAAATATAGCACCAAAACATCCACCTAAAAAAACATTTAACCTAGAGAGATTGAAAGACTAATGTCCCATTATGAATTCTTGCCCTGGGCTTTGGCTGGCCCAAACTTAATCTAATATCTTTTGTTATTATAAAAAAACAAAACTAATGATAATAATCATTTTTTAAGGGAGTGTTATCACATATTAATCTTTGTTGTTAACATGAGACTATATATTATGTTTTGGAGTCACTTAAGACAAACCTCCATGATCATCGGGTTGAATAGTGACAAGATCTGAAAATATATCAATAAGCTATTTAAAAATGTCTTAGAGTGAAATTAAGACCAATGTTAATCCAATAAAAATTACATTACAATCTAGGAATAAAGAAGATTGGACAGAAGACTTACTCTTGATTTGTTGTATGTGCATGAAACATAGATGCTCTTATCATTATTGTCATAAAAATAGCCCAAAATCAAATACTTTATGCATTAAAGTCACATCTTGACATGTTCAGTGTAACAAACACAAACACAACAAACAAATAACATGTATATCTTATAAAGGCCAAGAAGCATTAATATATTTAGAAACTTTTAAGAAGAACAGACAACAAAGATGTTACACAAGTGTTGAACAAGCAGTTGAAACAATGATTCAAACAAATACAAAATAGAGGCTTGACTCCATATCCCTCTCTATCAAATGGTGAGGAATGAATCGACTGATACAAAATTTATACATGAAGACTAATTTTATTGCGTTTGACACAATCATCGATGATTATGAACTCTGAAGGTGGAACTAGCAAAGACCATTTCCATTATTGGTCTTACTTGTTTGTGTAGGTTATATGTAGCCTTGTTGATGTTAGATTTATTTTTTATTTTTTGATTTGTGGTTTGATGTTTGTATATCAACCTAAAAAGTGAGTACAATAAGGTACAACTCTTATTTTACATTAAATTGTTGCTAATTGCTATTCTAGCATTTCATATCTAATGGCGTTTTCCTCGGACCTCCTCACACGTTTTACGCCTATTGGGACGCCAAACAACCGTGGACACGGAGACATCTCTTCTTCCACATATGCACCGCCACCGCCACCTCCAACCGCTTTCTCTTCTGATCCACCGTTCACCTTCTCCGGTTGACTCGATAGGAAATTAGACATCAATGTACAGACATTCCTATACAAACTTCGTATATGATCGAGTTCACATCTCAACTTGGAATTCTGTTCCTTCAATCGTTCATTTTCTTCTAGGAGCTGTTCCGGGTTAGTGGTACAAGTCTGGATATGGATCATCGTCGGTGATGAATTCGATGATCCGGCAAGTTCTTCATTTGAATTTGCCGGAGAGTAGGTCGATATCGGCATAGCTGCCAAGGGGATTGATGTTGTTACCGCTGAGGCAGGCGTAGTAGTCGGAGTGATTGAGATTTTCCGACGGTGTATCTCTCGGAGGAGTAATTTCTCACCTCTACGGAAGTAATCATTCGCGAACTCCCATCGATCCGATACGATTTTCCTAAATCCCTACATTCAAACGCAAAAATCAGTAAGCGGAGCTCATAACCGGTGAATCTAATTCGATTTTTTGTCGATAAACGTTACATATGTGTTTAGCTGTCGAATGAAGCTTGAGAAATTGTTGTGTTTGAAGTATTTGGGAAGCAGGTCTCTAGCAAATTCAGCTGGTCGCCAAATGACGAACGCGCTTCCATGTTCGTTCCATGAAATCATTTCGTTTGATGATGAATCGTCAACAAGTTGGTATGTCTTAGTCAAAAAAGGCGTCGGAATAGTTCTCAGCGACTCTCCTGTCAATTCACAAGTTTTTTCTACCGTTGACGTCGCCATTGAACCCGATTACAGATCTGCATGTATAAGAAGAAAATCTCAAACGAATCAAATCGTATTTCAGGCACAAAAACTGGAACTCCATGACATTATCTTAAATTCTTTTACAAAAAGAAAAAACTAGGAACGAAAGAGTTGTGTGCTCTACCTGGATTGTAAAGGATTCCTAGCAAAATCACCGGTGTATTTGCCGGAAAACGGTAGAAACACAGCGGAATAGGAAGGAAGATTGGCGCGACTTCTAGAAGGTTCTTGATGGTGGAAGTAAACGAGTTAAAAGAAGGGTGCAGCCTGTCGTGGGTTTGAGAAGGATATGGAAATATAACATGTCAAGTAATAAATGCTGAAACGATAGTTGTGGTCCACCAAAGAAAAAGCGTATTACAAAAATCTAGAAAAGTGACAATATTTAATAGCATTTTGAATAAAGAAAAAATAAATTTGCCTATAATTTTTCTTCAAAAGAAATTCAAAATTTAAGTAAAAATCAAGTATTTGATCGAAAAAAAAAATATTTATAATCATACAGATTAAAATTTAAGTTAAAATTATTATCACGGATAAAAAAAAATATACAGATTAAAAAATATTAATTAACATTAACTTTAGTAAATGTAATGATAGTTTTATCTTTTTAATGCATTTAATTTTATTATAAATGCATTTAATTTCATGGTAATTTAACTAATAATAAAAGATATTTTGGTAAAAAATATATTTACTTTTAGAAGTATATACTATTATTTTTAGACAAATCAAAAAGAAAACATGAACTATTAATATAGGACGGAAAGAATATTATTTTTGCAGTATGCTTGCGAAAATATTAAAATAACAAAATTCATGCAAAAAATATAAAACAAACATTGTGTTTTGTTTTTGTTTTTATTTTTTATTTTTTCCGTTGGAATTTAGGTTTTTTTTTTCAGGGGTCCATGCAATTTTTCGTTGGAATTAGGTATTTTTTTCAGAGGACCATGCGAGAATAATTTGAACTACAATTTTTTGTATAAAAAACTTAATTTTTAGATTTTAACTTTATTTAAATGTTTTTGACAAAACTCTCACTGTGGTTGTGGCCATTTTGATTATTTTTGTATTTTGTTTTGGTCCTTCCAAAAAATAAAATTATTATAATATCCTTGTGTATTTATTTTCAATTTTTCTTTCTATTTTTTAATATATATTTATAATTATATATAACATTAATTTTGGATGATCTTATGAATGGTGAACTTCTGCTATTTTAGAATTTGGCCACAATATTTTGTAGGGTTGGCAAGTTTAGTCCATGTATGCTCCCACCTCATACTGCTTCCAATCAGATGCAGATAATAGATGATCCAACGCCTCAGTAGCTCAATAGCTTTTAAACAAATAAAACTCGGGTTTTTTTTCTGTTTGGAGTCGATGACACACCAAGGTCACATAAAGAAATTTCGCGACCTGCACCTCATACTGCTTCCAATCAGATGCAAATAATAGATGATCCACCACCTCAATATCTCGATAGCTTTTAAACAAAAAAAAAAACTTGGGTTTTCTTTCTATTTGGAGTCGATGACACACCACGGTCACATAAAGAAATCTCACGGCCTGCTAACTGCAGCGCTGGTTTCCACAATTGACCCATCGGTTTCTTGGTTAAAGGCGAACGGAGACCCTCTTTTCCTCTATTGAGACCACCAACGCACCACCATCGACATCCCTTTGTTGTCTTGCTAAGTTTAGAAGTCGTCGACATCCTTTGCCATACGTAGTTCGCCTCGCCTTTGTTGATAAGAGGTAGAGAGGAAGAGATTGCACAAAAAATAGTTGATTGTTGTGTTTTGAGTGAATGGGTATTGAAGCCATGAATCCATTAAGCCTTAAATAAAACTTTTTCTTCTCATTTCCATCCATTAGTTCATTATCCATACACATCTTTCTATATAGGGTTGGTTTTGAGTCAGTTTGTTTCAAAGTGACGACATTATTTTATAATCAGTCTCCTCCACCCACTTTGCTTCCACTTCCTTCTTTGTTCTTCTATTTCTATTTTGCATCCACCGAAAGAGAATATGTATTGGATATGGAAGGCAACTAAAGTCATTATAAGATGATGCCTCATGTTGCTTCTCCTTTGAAACATGTTTGCTCATATTAAGGTAAATCAGGAATATATGATGTTTCTGATTTCTTCATTATCTGCTTTGTATCAAATCTAACTATGGTTGATTTCATCCCCAAATTGATGTTTTTTTTTTTAATTTTGGGATTAATCAGTTCAAATTTTTACATATTTGCAGAACTTATAGATATATGATGCATTTAACTTGGATTCTCGTGATGAAATTATTGAAATTGAGTCGTGAAGGTAATGATTTAACATCATATTGGTTAGTGATCGTTAGTTCCATTTCAGTTCCTTTATCACTAAGCCACAACTAAAAGAATACATGTTAGTTTTCTTCCTATTTATGTGAAATTACTCATTAGTTCAAGTTTAATTGATTTTTACTTATATTTGTTTTTGCAATTGTTACTTTTCATTAATTATGGGATATTGGTTTGTATTAAGATTTATGTTTTAATTTTGTGATTTCTTTTTATGATTTACTTTGGATTTATTAATGTGGTTTCAATGGAAAAGCGAAGCTAGAGGAAGAATTTAAGCAAGTTGATGTCGTGATCTTGACCTATGCTTGTTACACTACTAGAAAAACAGCCTTTTACGACGTGCAATGTGTATTGTAAAACGCTCAGACGACGTGCAAATGCGTGTCAAGGAAGGTCCTGTCATATCGAAAGACGATGTGTTTTTGCGCATCATCTATTTACAACGTGCATTTATGACACACATTTACAACGCACAGTTATGACACTTAATGCATATCAAGGAAGACCCTGTCATAAAGAAAACGAAACACATTTGTGTGTCGTAACCTTAGGACACGCGTGTTGATGACACGCAATGCGTATCAAGAAAGCCCTGTCATAAAGGAATACGACACGTATTTTTGCATGTTATAATTTTAAATGTTTTTAAAATTATATATTTTTGATAGATTTACTAATTTTCAAATTGAATAACACACATTAAAAGTCTCATAATACAAAATAAAATACCATAAACAATAAAGATAACTCATTGCATTAATATGTCAAATACAAATAATCATTCCAATAGTAAGTAAATGTAACACATTGCTAATATTGCATAATATTTATTATAGAAAAGAAAACATGTACAACATTAAAAGAAACTCATGACTAAATTATTCTTTGACAATTTCCTTTCCAAGAGAATATTAACCTTTTGCTGATGAGAATGCTTTTGGCAAAGAGACTTCACTCTATCAAGAGCTTCTTCAAGAGAAGATGGGTCTGCAGCAAAAGTTACACGAATCCAGTTTTTCAAGCCTACAGTAAGTCCTGCAAAATAACCCAAAAGTCAAAGTCAAAGAGATATATTACTATATTATATGGTAGTTTGTATTAAGATAAGAATGTGTATCTACATGAGAACGAATGAATTGCCATAAAAATCACCAGCCAAACCTGAACATAATTTTAGGTGCTAAGATATTATAATGGGAAAACAAGAAACATAAACTGAGAAACTCAACAAGGAAATTTTGGCTTACTGTAATCACAGGAAGTGCTTCAGCTTCAGACATGTCCTCCTTAATCACACTGGATTCACTTTCTTTCTGGGAAGCATCCTCAACCTTTTCAGTGTGTTTAACATCTGTATCATTATTATTTCTTTCAATGCCATCATCCCCTTTACCCTGAAAGAACAGATTATAGGTATGATTTAAACAAGATAATTATAAATCAGACTTAGTATATAAATAAACAACCATTGGCCACAACTAACATACATCTCCCACTTTCTCTTTCTCAAGTTTGGTTTCTCCTTCAGAACCCTACATGATGAACATGCCCCAATACTATTGAAAACAGCCACAACTTTAAACAATCAAAGAGAAAAAAAAAAATGTATGTTCTGTCTTATGATCATTGTCCTTATGGGCTCTAGGTTAATTGGATGCCTGAGGATAAGATTTTGTTAAAGGCTCCATCACTTCATCACTAAGCAGCCTAAACCTTTTCTTCATTGACAGGAGGTAATATTAGCAAGCTGCTAAGAAACTCATCAAATGCTTCAAAGAATCCAATACCTCCAGTAGCATCATCTTCTCCTTCATTAGTATTGAATTCCATATTGAAATCCAACTTCCCCAATTCTTTTGCAAACCACCTGATCCCATTCAACAACATATTCATCTTTTGTCCCTATCATATTCCATTCAACATCAGAATCATCACTAGGTTCAGAGATTTGACAGTTTATAAGATAGAAGGTAACCAATTAAGGTTGTAATGTTATTTTTCTTTATTTTGAAATATGAAAGGAAATGGGAATAGAGCTTACGTTCAGAAGGTATCACAGATCAGTTGAATTGTCGGCACCGCAAAGTTGCACGTAACAATGACTTCCTGCCTTGAAAAAACTTTATTTAATAAGATACAACTTAATAAGATGTGATGATAATTACACAATGATAGAAAGAGATTATGGAAAAACAACAGTAAACTATACCCATGAGAACTATAAAACAACAGATCAAGGAAAATACTAATTTAGGTTATTGATATTTAAACCATAGCAATTCCATATGCATTGCAAAACTAGGAAAATACTAATTAAGTTAGCCAATGAATGGCTAATCTCACCATCAAGGCCACATAAGCTCATATCATGCTCTCTGACATGACCTGTTTTGTTGTTGCACATGACTCCTGTCCACTGACATGACATGTATTATGTAACAAATAAAGTACATGGCTGATATAAGTAAAAAACAAAAAAAGAATATGTGATTAGGGACTTGTTGAGGAACTATAAACCCTGATTCTCTCATCCTCTCGTTGTCTCCTATATCTGGAAGAATCACTTCTGATTGCTTCTTCTGAAACATTACACAAATAATAACAGTCAGTTGAATTTGAATTAGGGTTTAGGGTTTAACTTCATTACTACCTTCACTAGATGTGCCATGGGGTCACCCCATCTAACTCTGTCCTTAAGCATATTATCAAGATCCGGATCATCTCTGAAGAAAAAAAAAAGATACATCCTGTAAGGGTGTGTATGTTTTTTATATTGGAACTCTAATGTTTAATTGACAATTAATCTGATTAGTTTTTTCTTAAAAACGACTTATTTATATAGACTTGGTAAGGTTTCTTTTCTTTTTCTCTTGTAATTTAGTAAAATGTGAAATATCTCAAAATATAATAGAGCTAAATCGATAAATAAGAATATGAGAACATCCTTAATCTTACTAGTCTTAACAGTCAGACATGATTTTCAGATATGTTGTTCAGTCCATTGATATCTATGTTATCATCTTATGATTATAAAAGATGTAGAGATCTCCAATAAGAATCTTTAAGATCTTCTACATGAAATATAATTAAAGCTTTTAAAAATAGACATTTTTTACCTTGCTCTCGCAAATGGTTTAGCCTTCTCAAGTTCCAATTCCTGCAGCCTTGCCTCTGCTTCCCGTTTTTGAGCCAAACCCTTGCCCCATTCCAGTTTTATCTCCTGTCCAAAATAGTTTTGTTAAATAAGATTACAGTCTAAGTAACACTATGTGTTAGAAATATAATAATTAACAAACCAACTACAGATGAACTACGCATGTAACTCATAGCATCATGTCTCACATTATTGATTATACAAGCAGGATTCCTTCTTATTTGTTTCGTGTTCTTATCAGATGTTTTCAGTGCTTAAAAAAAATTTAGTATGCTTCAATAACATAATGTTAAACATATTAAAATTAATTTTGCACTATTTTAAATCTGTTTAGTACGTGAAAATTATTCTACAACAACATGAACAGAAATGCACAAACCAATTTGAAAATTGAGACATTTCAAAACATAAAACTTTAAATATGAAAACTAACAGTGGAGTACCTTTGGGTTCTCATCTTCCTTTTGAAGTGCTTTGATCTGGTCCTTTGTCGGGCGTTACCCTGAAAAAAAACACAAGTGGAATTAAAAATACATTTTTACCAAGAAATAGTCAAAAACATTGTATTGTATAGTGTATACAAATAGTATTTAGGAATTTAAAGCTAACTGGTTCTCTTACTATGATTATTTGGCTTCACAGGAAGTAGGGACCGATATTCAACCTCAGATGGCTTGCGTTTGAAAACAGACCCAAATTCATGCAAAGCACTTGGCCTTGGGAAACATGGTGGAGTAAGATCTTTCCCTTTTCTTACTGTGATTATCCCCGTATTCATCTTTCTCATGAGATGAAGGAGATAATGGACACATGGAATCTGTTGTAGCAACTTGTCCAATACAAGGAGGAAAAGGAGTAGAAGGGTGAAACAGTAAAAAGATATCATCATTACATGGTATGTCTGGATCTTCCCTCTTCGAAGTGCAAATAATTTGCCCTTCTGTAAGCTGAACAGATTCTATCTGTGATACTGATGTTGATGCCGCATCATCTTGAACACCAGGAATTACAAAAACATTGCATAAATCAACTTCTTGATTAGGAACATCATCCATTGTATCTTTCATATCATCCTTCACATCTACATCCATGAAAAGAATATCATCTTCATTAGACAAGTTCAGAAGAGAATCTGGTAGAATTTTGTCTCCCCACTTTGTTGAATACTTGACCCATTTTTTGCTTTAGCATCTACAAACATCATAAATAATTTCAGAAAACAGTAAATGTAAGGTTCTTTCATGAAAACAGATAAAAATTGATGTTTAATCATTTATCTATAGATACCCGAAAACAATAATAAAAATTTATTACAATATATATATATATATATATATATATATATATATATATATATATATATATATATATATATAGTGAACATGTTCTATCATATCTTGCCTTGCCTGCCCAAAAGAGCTTTATAAAGCACGTAGACCACTAATTAGCAGAAATTTATCAAACAGATTCAAAATTAAAATCAGGAAGATAATAAATGGATAATGTCAATACAAGAAGAAATCAAGCTTAAGCAGTTCCTCCTCAAATGAAAGAGTATAGACCAGAATCAAATTAAATGACTAAGATTTGATGATCCTAACATATGAACGGCTACGATAAAACATACAACATTCTACATACTTATATGTAAACTTGTCAGCAATTGCATACACGATACTTTATCTCTGAAAATTGCTGAACGTATTATTCCCATCAGATGTTGAAAATTGCTCACAATTTGACAACAGGACACGAAACTGTTGAAGCCTTTTCTGAAAATAGAAAATTAAGCTCACTATTCTATTCCAAAAGAACGAACCATTCTATTCCGTCTAGCAAAAAAAACAACTTTTTTTTCATTCTAATGGAATACACAATTCCATTACTCCCTCAATTCCATTATACAAAAAATACAAAATTTAAACATTATACAAGCTCACTAAAATTCAAATAAGATTTATGATCAAAAAAATCTAGTCGCTTTTAGATAAAAATATATAACTTTATTAAAATCATGAAAAAATTGGAAGGAATCACATTTCTTAAGAATGGTCTGTTCCATTCCATCGGCAATGGAACAAACCATTCCATTCCTTCATACAAACACAACCTATAATTAAATTATTTCAAGAAAAGAATAGGAAGTAAGAAGAAGCATACAGGAATTTAAACATTCTACAACGTGGATCTTTATTTGCAGTTTACTGATTCCAACAGAAAACCTTTTTTAATCAAAAGTTAGTAAGATGCAGTTCCAAATAAACCCAACTTTACGATAAAAATATTCAAATTGAATGAATTTTAATAACATATACCTCAAACGATGCCCTGATGGGAGTAATTGGGATGAAGTTCTTGACGGTTAGGCTTCTTTGGGATGAAGTTCTTGACAATTAGGGACTGTGCCTTCAATTGATATATAGAGAGAGCTTTGATAGAGTAGGGGAGTTAAAGACGCAGTCGTGAAGAAAAAAGGATTTAACAAGAATGGAAGTTTGTTCCTTCGATCATAAATCAAATGGAGAAAAATTAAGCCGGGAAGAAAAAAGGATTTAGCAGGGTTCTGGTGGAAGAACGAAACATAGGGGAAAAAATCAACCGAAACACACCTTAATAAGACATAGGGCTTGTAAATTACAGCAATAGAAGTAATCCTAAGGTCTTCGGACCTGATGTTGTCGTCAAGGGGAGGCGAGGTGAGATCTTCGTTCGAGAGTCGACATATCTTGTAGTGATAGTACCTGAAGGTTTCTAGTTCGAATGATTTGGGCTCTGTGGAACCTTGATGTGAGGCCAATCATAAAGCATCCTAGTGCTTCGTCGCAGTGGAAGGTGCGTTATGAGTGTCGATTCGCTTAGGTGGCGAAGCAGCAGCAGTGGTGAAAGTTAAAACCCTAAGTCGTCGATGTCTTAGTCGATAACTTGTACCAAAAAACCCTAAATCGCTATGAGAGAGGAGTGAGGCCTGAATCGCTTTCATTGAGATGGGATATCTTGAAGCGGAGATGTATAGCAGTACGATAGGGCGGGATACTTTACCCATGCGGTACAACCAGACGAATCAAGGGTGTCGAGCTAACCCACAGGAAATCGATTGAAGTTCCTGACTAGAACCTTGTAGTTGCCGTCAAAAAACACACAAAAGTATTGGGCTAACAATATACGTATAATTGATGGTCGCCATTTTGTGATCTTCAGGAATGAACGCGAGTTTTTAAGAAAAAAAAAATCTAGAATGGTTATATGAGTTGTAGTAGAGATGATATAGTGATTAGGGTTTGCAAGAGAAGGGGAGAAGAGAATGAATGGAGATCTTGAAGCGGGTGTTTAATTTTTTTAGAATTTTAAGAGAATTTCGTTTCCCCCTTTTAAGTAACGCGCGTTTTGAGTAGAAATTATAAAGCGACACTGAGAGAGGACGCAAATTTTAGATAAAGTGCCCTCCGTGTTTTTAATTTTTTTACATGCGACACTAGTTTAAAGGCACCTACTAATGCGTGACCTAAATCCTTCAATTTTTTGAAGAGATTATATTTTTTAATGTCACTCTCTTTTGCGTAGCATAAATCAACGAGTGTTGTGGTTTTCGCATCGTAAAATGGTCTTTTTTCTTGTAGTGTTATAAAGTTGAAACAGTCGATCGTCGTCAGAATTTCTAGATTTCTGAAGTTGGTTGCTTGAAGATTTTCATCCACTCCATCAATATTTTACCATGTAATTTTTTTGAAAAGGATATTGTGAGACTTTAGTGTTTTCTATATCTACAAATGAAGGCACATACAAACGTGGTTGATATTGTGAGACTTTAGCGTTTTTCTATATATCTACAGGTGAAGGCACATACGGTCGTGGTTGGTTGCAAGCTAGACTTGGTGTCAACTCTAATAATGCAATATTTTAGGCAAATTGAAACTTTTAATGAGTGTTTTGCATACAACAGGCCCAGTCCGACATACAAATGGGCCCATCCCAACATTCAGGTGGATGAGAGCCTGAACTACATTCAGAGGCCCGTTGCGATTTTGGATAGGAAGATCAAGGTTCTGCGAAACAAGGAAGTGAAGCTAGTAAAGGTGCAATGGCAGCACCAAAAGGGGCTCCGAATGGACATGGGAGCCGGAAGATGAGATGCGAGATCACTATCCAAACTTGTTCACGTCAGCAGACTTCGTGAACGAAGGATAGTTCAAGTGGGGGAGATTTGTAACACCAGTTCTAGGTATCATTTAAATTTTCAAGTTTTAGGGTTTTATGTTAGGACTCGATTATTTGGGAGCTCCAACTCATCGAGTAGAGATCATTTATGATGACACGGGAATTAGATCCTACTCGACGAGTCGGAAGGCCCCGACTCGACGAGTAGGCGTTGTAAAGGAAACCCTAATTTTTAGGGTTTCCACCCTATATAAAGGACTTAATCCGCCTCTTGTGGCCTTTCTTACTACTTCACTACCCAAAGAAGAAACCCTAAGTCGTTCTTTGCTGCTTCCTTATGCTTGAGAGGCTAAGAGAGGGTTTTTGGTGGATTTTGTTGAAGGGGTTTGAAGGTTGAAAAGCTTGGAATGGGAAGGAGATTGTAGACCCAGCATCTACAACGTTTGGGCACCCATTTGAAGGTAACAACCTGTTAACTTGATCATTCTATCATTAGATCCCATCTTTTCTTGGGTTTTAGGTCGTTTTTAGTATATTTGTGAAGCATTTCGGGTGTTGGGTAAGATTTGGAGTTGCAACTTCAGATCTGGACTCCTTTATGCCCTTAGAGTTATAAAGTCACTGAATTTATCAAGCATTGTCCATTCTCTTTGGCTAAAACTCCTCCCTTAGCTTGGTGTTGGTACTTAAGAGCTTGCATGCACGTAAAGTTTGCAACTTTACATGCAAACCATGCCTTAGGAGGCTAAATCTGCAATTTGGAGCTTTGGGGTAGCTTAAAAATGTCTGAACACAAAAAGGACTAAAGGAACTCGTCGAGTCCCTTAGCCAACTTGATGAGTCGGGTACGGTTTACCCGTTTTCGAGATTCCAAGTGATTTCAATGAAGGATTGGAGTTTTCGGTCTACATGAGTTTTAGGTCTTCTGGACATGGAGGAACTCGACGAGTTACACAGGTAACTCGACGAGTTGACGAGTTACTCAGGTAACTCGATGTGTTGTTGGATGTACTCGACATATTGAGGTCAACATGAACTGTTGACCTTGACAGTTGACATTGACTTTGACCAGAGTTGACTTTGAGGATATGTTACATCCCCATTTTCACGGCTAGAAAAGACCGATTTTGTTTATGCTTTATAAAAATCAGAGTACCTCTTTTAATAAAAATGTTGCGAAATTTGTTCCCAGTAAAACATGATAAATACGTTATCAACACATTTCCGAAGAAAAGTATTTTTATTCATTTTAAAACATTTGGGATGTTATCATCAATACAAAAACATAAACATAAACAAAACTTACATTCATTATCACTAGTGATTTATATCTCCTTAATCTCTCAGTGTAATTTGACTTCATATCAACACCTGTGATATAAATAAACTGAGTGGTCAGATTGAGAAACCTGTTGAGTACATAGGGTTTTCAACCCACAATAATTCAATTATTATGTTTAATCTTCAAACAATTAATCAACCCAATTACCCATCCTCGTTGTCTTCTTTACTCTTAAGGAACTACCCTAAGAATCAACTATTCCTCGTTCATTTATTCCTAAGGATCATCCTAAGGAGTTGGCACGAAGTCCATCATTACCAAGGTTTATAGATTACAACTAGTGAACACGTAGTCCAAAATATCTGGTAAACACTTAGTTCAAAAATAACTAGTGAACATACTTAGTTCAGAAATACCTAGTGAACACACTCAGTTCAAAATATGACTTATTAATTCATACGTTATGAAATAATATGTTATATTACTTGCTAATGAAAATTATTGTTTCCATGAAATAAATAATTTCCAATTTAATTATAAGAGTTTTATTGAATATTTATTAAAATCAATTTCTAATAAACAATCAATTATATCAAGTTGTTGTTAGTGTGACCCATTAGTATCATATGTTAATTAGCAATATCACTTTAATATGACTTTTGAGCATACTAGACCTTTAAAATATGTGTTCCTCACTTTGGCTTGTCACGTCATGACTAACCTATGGTCACGTCGTGATACTCGGTTTTCCCTAAAAACCAAACTCTTAACTCCTTAATGCCCTAAACCGAATCACTTTGGAAACAGGTGTTACAAACATATCAATCAAAATTGTCTCCAAAACTTTCGATAATGCTAGATCTCGAAGCTGACGAACCCGTTTTTTGCTTTACTTCATCCAACGGTCTGGTGAAGAGGTTCCTTGCCTTTAAGATCAATTGGATCATCGTCGATGTCGATGTGTTTTCACCTGTCTAATTGTTAGGATGTTGCATCAGGGTTTCTTGAATGCTATGAAGCGGAAGCTGTTTGTGAAGTTCCTTCGGTTTGCATTTTCTTTTTTGGAACATCTTTCAATTTTAGCCATGGTTGGAGATATGGAAAAGCTTTGTCAGTTTCCATTGTGTTTTCATATTTATCCAGGGGTATATGGAACACATCAAAATCGCTTGATCTGCTTCTGTGTAGTTGTTGAGGTTATTGTAAATTCCTCTTAATTTGGTACATTTTAGCCTCAAATCGTACCACTTCTAACTAATTTGGTTGGGATTTCGAGCTTCACTTCCCATTAACTCATAGAACACGTTTCACACTTTCTCCCAAAAACAATTAAAGGTTTGTGTAACATCTTGTTTCGAGAAGTTTCTTATTTCAGGATAATGGACAATAAATGGATCAAGTAAAGGTCTTGGGCTTTAAGGTAATTGGTTTTACACCTTATGTAACATCCCGAAATAAGGTATGTTTATCATTATTGAATCGTTTCCTAAAGTGTCAAATTTAGTGATGGGTTTTGAGCATTACAACATTCCTATGGTGTACATGCAACCCTATTTGCTTTGGATCTAGTTTTTTCTCAAGTTATACATGCAAAATAATTTTCCAAAGCAAAAACCTAATCTAGCATACATAAAACCAAAATCTAATCATATTAGAGTTTGAAGAATACCTTTCTTGTTAATAGCTTGATCTTGATCTTCAAGGGCTTAGTGCCTCAAGTGATGAACCTCTAATGGAGTCACAAACACCACTTAGCAAAGGGTGAACAAGAGAGTGAGGATGGAGGCTATCAATTTCGGTTGGGGTTCTTTATGAAAGCATAGGTCCGAAAACCTCTAGCCTAGGATTCCTTTTATAGTTGAGTTGTTACTAGGGTTTTCAATTGGAAACCCTAATTCCCTTGCTTAGGCCCTAAGAAATCCACAAACCCCCATATGATAGGCCTTGGACGAAATCTTTATGGGATCCCATAGATTTTCGTCCATCCCTTATCAATAGGGTTCATTAGCCCAAACTACAACTATCATTGATTTACATAATCAGTCCCTGTTCTTTTAATTAGTCTCTTTTGATCAACAAATTAATTCTAAATTAATTTCTGATCAATACTAATTAAATAATATGATTTCTCAATTAATATATTATTCTTATAATATATTAATAAATCTTACATCAACCTCTTTCTCATAATTCATCCTGTCAAGTTGCTATGATGAAGGCAACCCAAAAGGACCATGCTACTATCAGATCAAGTACATCCCAATTATAGTTATGGGCTTAAACACCTAACCCAACAATTAGTCCCTAATAGAGAAAAGTGTTGGAAAAGGTGTCTAAGCCCATAACTATAATTTGTATGTACTTGACCCAATAGTAGCATGGTCCATTTGGGTTACTTTCATCAAAGCAATATGTTAGGAAATATATTTGAGTAAGAGATTAATTATGATTTATTGATATATTATAAGTATAATATATTAATTGAGGAGTCACATTATTTAATTAGTATTGATCAAAAACTAATTTAAGAATTAATTTAGTGATCAAAAGAGACTAATTAAATTGATATAAATGGATTGGGTTAATGATCCATGATTGATTTGTGA